GATTTACTGGAGGAAAGAGAGAGAGAGTTCTGTCACTCAGTGAAGCACATGGTGTTGTTCACAGGACATAATTCCTAGTTCAAGGGGAAAAAACACTTCCATATCTAAGAAAGAGAAGGAAACATTACGTTAATTATAAAGAACTGCAAAACTATGGTCTGAATAAAGAAGGAATAAAACTAGTTTTGGAATGAGACCTTAAGTTTCTCCTGACATCCTAGAAGCCTTGAACAGAAAGATCACATATAAAAGCTACTACGCTCCCCTCCAGAGAAATATCCAAGTTCATCCTAAGGAATCTGAACCGAAGGGTTCCTTCAAAAAGAGCATGCCTAAATAAGAATTATTAGGCAATCCCAGTTAGGCTCTCTCAAGCAGAGGCAGCTTGCCAGGGTAGAATTTCACAAAGCCCAAGACTTCGACTGCTACCATGGAACCATGTATTTATCTCAGACTAAATAGATTTATGCTTGTGTAAGCAGACTAAGTACAGATTTTCTTTCATTTCTTCACCCATATTCTACAAATGTGTGATTATGTTATTATATGTATATATTACGAATAAAGGCTTTTATTTCTAGTTTACCTTAATCTGTCTTAACTTATGGCCCAGCTACCCAGCACAGACTTTGCTGTGTTCACAGGTAAGAAAGGTGCTTCCCCTCCACTCGCACAGATCAGATGCTGGCACTGCAGGAATCAGACAGGAACCAACTGTACCTGGCATGCAACAGGATATCAGAGTGCACGCTTATCCCTTGGAACTGCTGGGGTCCAGGTCACAAGCAGACCTCCTGCTGACTGCTTCCTACACAGCAGGTATCCTTGCTTACTCCCTACTCATGAGGAGTAGACCATGGGTTGTGAAACCTTTGCGTTATTTCAAAGGCAGGTGCGTGTGCAGAAACAAGCAAGCGAAGTATTGTAATTATTATGGGAATGCGGGCATCTAAAATATTTGTAACTTGCACTATTCAAGAAATCAGACGCTTTGCTCAGAATTCTTGAAATAGTATTTGAAATCTAAATGCAAACAGATTGCATTACGTAAGTTGTACTGGTTTTGATGTTTTTGCTTCTGCTGTGTTTATATTCCTGTTCAATACAGAAAGACTTCAGTCTTATTGCACACATCCAGGCAGGACTTCAAGCCAACTGGTAAATGTGTTAGCAGAAACAGACTGAAGTGCTAATGTTCTTTTTACTGTTCTTTACTAGAAATATAAAAATGGGCAAACAATACTAAACCAATAATTACTTTCGTTTCTGAACCTTAAAAAGAACCCTCTGTTCTTTCTCTTCCGTTTTTGCATTTGTCCAGGGACTGCACAGCAAAGATGTCAACTACTGTCAGACGAAAGTTAAAACCTCAGTTGTGCCTTCTGCTCACTGCAAAATCTCAAAGATAAATACAAAGTAATCTTCAGAAACAAGTGATTTGTAACTAGTCTGTCTGGGGAAATGGAAAGAACTGAATATAATCTCACACTAAAATTTTGCTGCTAAGAATTCCATTCAAGAAAAGCAGCTGTGAATGCTAGGTAAGTGACTAAGTAGATATGACTTTTATCTCAACAACCCATCAAAGTAATTGAGCGTGTATTAAGGTAATTAAATCTTCTCCGTGACAAAGAATTGAAACTTGAAAAGTAAGACTGTAAGTTACACTTCTGTAAGACTTATGAGTGGTAAGTGAAGTATCTTTCATTTTAGAGCAGGTAGTGAGTGGTTCTTGCAATATCTCCCATTCTAAGAATAAGTGGTTTAAATGATAATACTTTAAGATGTATTTTTGATCACTAAATAACATTTAGATCACAGAGGTTTTCCAATGCCAACTTCTGAAGCCACTACATTAATAAAGGTAATTTTTCACTTACATGAATAACATTAATAATGTAGTATGACCTTTTCTCTAAATATTAGAATTCTGAATTCTCTTCTTATGTCAGACTTTATTTCAGCTATTCAATATTGGATCTGTTTGAAAAATAAAAAGGACACACTTGGCAACATGCAGGATAAACACTATGATGAATCACATGTTCTTGTAAGGTGTATATTTCTCCTAAGAAAATATTTAAATTCATATGCACGTTTGCTTGTCTGTGGGAGACAGCATTTTTGTTGTACTTTTATGAGGTGTTATGCTATAAATTGGTTATGTACTGACTGAGTCTGGAGCGAATGTCTCCTAAATTTTAAATACATCCGCACCCCTTTAAATCTATCATCTAGTTTCCAAGAGTCTAAAGCAAAAACGACGAATGCAAACCACTATTTAAGTGTGACCTACATGAAAACAATGCTTTCTCTTCTATCACTTGTCGTGGGCTAGGCTGCTCTGGCAACCAAACCCTACAGTCGCTCACTCCCCCTCCCCCAGGGATGAGGGAGAGAATCAAAGAAGAAAAAGAAAAGAGATCCGTGGGTTGAGATAAGAACAATTTACTACTACCGCTACCAATATATATATATATGGATATGTACAAGGATAAACATATACAAACGAGTGAGGTACAGTGTAATTGCTCACCACCCCTTGACTGAGGCCCGTCTCGTCCCGAAGCTGCAATCCCAAAACAGATAAATCCCGATACCGCAATCCCGGATGAATGGGAGGCCCCGAGACAGACAGCGAGAGGAGAGAAAACACTGAGAGTCCGAAAGTGAGAGTCCCGGAAGGGCAAAAGCCCTTCTTTCCGGCTGACCCTCACTTTTATACTGGGCATGACGCTGCATGATATGGAATACTAATTGACCAGTTTGGCCCTCAATCGTAAGTTCAAGTACAAATCGTAAGGAGAGTCATGGACCCCTTGTCCCGGCCATGCTCTCTCCTTATCCTGTTGTGCTCCTGCACACTGGCAAGAACACGGCAAGCTGAAAAGTCCTTGAGACCTCAGTGCCAACTATAAACATCAGCTTGCTATCAACATTCTTCTCAGAGCAAGCTTCTGAGTAAAACCAAAACACGGAGCTCTTCTAGCTGCTAAAAAGAAGAGCTAACTCTGTCCCAGCTAAAACCAGGACATCACTGCAGAAACAAAAGCAGAAAATAGCGCTAAAATCACACTCCATCACCTGCGAACACTGGAGACGCTGCTCAATCAATTATTCTCTTATCTTTGCTCTCCAACAGATAAAGGCTTTAACATGTTAGGCAGTGTATGTTTTTCATAATGCAGACTTCAAGCTTGCTGAAATCAAATGTTTTCTTTATGAGGGCTCCAGTAGACTTGGACATGGAGCTGCTGGAGGGGGTCCAGAGGAGGGCCACGAAGATGATCAGAGGGCTGGAACACCTCTCCTCTGAAGACAGGCTGAGAGAGTTGGGGCTGTTCAGCCTGGAGAAGAGAAGGCTCCAGGGTGATCTTATCACAGCTTCTCAGTACTTAAAGGGGGCCTACAAGAAAGCTGGAGAGGGACTTTTTACAAGGGCGTGTAGTGATAAGACAAGGAGCAATGGCTTTAAATTGAAAGAGGGCAGATTTAGATTAGATATAAGGAAGAAATTCTTCCCTCTGAGGGTGGTGAGGCACTGGAACAAGTTGCTCAGAGAAGTTGTAGATGCCCCATCCTTGGAAGTGTTCAAGGCCAGGATAGATGAGGCTTTGGGCAACCTGGTGTAGTGGAGGGTTTTCCTGCCCATGGCAGGGGGGTTGGAACTAGATGATCTTTGAGGTCCCTTCCAACCCTAACCATTCTATGATTCTATGATATCCAAGAAAAACATTTATATGGCATTACAGTCAATCATCTTCCTCACCCCTTCTCTTTCCCATTCTCTCAGGGCTCCATTTCTTTTTGAAATAATGCCACCACTAGGCTTAAAGCACGTTACAGTTAAACACACAGAGGCTAATTTGATAAGCCAACGAACTTCTGAGTCTTATCTAAAAAGGACATTCCTTTTGAGGATACGCTATATGCTGAGAGTATGCTCTACTGATATAACATTATTCACATTACTCTGCTAGGCTACGTGCACAAGTATCTTCTAACAGGGACACTGTTAGATGCATTGTCCATGTATACAGGTATCATAGAATCATGATACTATCAGGTATGATGATTACACTAATTTATTATGATCCACCAGACAACACCTGTTGTACTGAAGACAGCTTGTTTTAAACAGATAAATTCCAGTCCTGCGAACAGCTCTGTATCTTGCAAAACAAAGCATAATTTTAAGGCAAAAAAGTCAAGACTGAGGCTGGAACAGGTAGGTATAATTTGCTAAACTAATGTAACTATCTACCTCTGCCCTCTTGGATTCAGCTGCACCAAAGAGGTCCAAATTCTTTACTGTGGAAGTGCAGAGGGTTACTCCCACAAATAACTTGACAGATGAGATCAGATTTTCACTCAAAACACAGAAATGGAAGGCAAAGAGGAAGACCTGGCTAAACTTAAGCATCATTCAGGAGTCAGTCCATGCTCCTTATCTCCCCTCAATTTTTCCTCCTCCCTGAATTACATGACCTGTAGCTATGGCTGCAGAGCATATTCTGAGATCGTACAGACAGAACTCACTGCCCCTCCATGGGATTCACGGCACCATCATCCTCCCAGATTCTGCCAACAGAGCCGGAAAAATGACCAAGCTCTAAAAGTGCACAGTGAGTTAACACAAGGAAGAAATGCATAAATGAAAAAGCACATTACACTCCTGTGTAACAGAGACAACTTCTATTTGTATCATATACCTGTTATCTACACATGCCCCTAGAAACAACATAACTCTTTGGTCTACGTTTTAGTATTACAGTGCAAAAATTTAACAACCAGATTCTCTCTGGCTGTAACATAAACCAAATACTATTTCTCTGGCATTTTGATTTAAAAAAAAAAAAAAAAAAAAAAAGTATGCAATTTCAAAGTGATACATCTCTCAGATTAATGGACTGGCCAAAGAACCTCAAAGACATATTGCTGCCCTGAAATGCAAAATAAATCAAAGATCAGAACCTGAGGTCAGAAAAGGCTGTACTTACTCTTTATTCCTGCTTTTAATGCACGGCTGGTAAAGGACTTTGACAGCATTCCAGGTCCCCACTGGTCCAGAGCCAGGCATGAAAATATCTTCAAACAGTGTAAAAACACTGAGAGAGGAAGAACTTCCTAAAGACTCCACCAGCAATGTGTCAGAATTTAAAAGCCATATCTATAAATGAAGAAATAATTTATTTTACTGAAGATGACATCAATTTCAATTTGTTCCTTTACTCTGATCCTAAATCAGCTGATACCAAAGCTACATTCTTAACAAAGTTTCTAACAAAGTGTTAACAGCCATAAATCGATATTTTATTATTCAGCACAGTCTGCACAGCCTCTAGTGGGGAAAAATGGGTTAATACAATAAACTGACGCCCGATTTATCACAGTCACTCTTAAGATCATTATTTCTGTGAAGCTGCCTCTTTTTTGTGGCTGCAGCACATTCCCTTTGATAGTAAGAAAACAAACAGTCTCAAGTCATCTGTTTCAGTACCAAATGGATTGTTTCTCTAATTTCGCAGTCTTTTAGGAATTAGTCAAGCATATGGTGTTGAACAACTGAGGGCTAAAGACAGAGAACTGAAAGACTGTCCAGTAGAATTGGCAAAAATTAAAGACTTTTAGTAAAAGCGTGATAGTTGTGACTGGATGGAGCTAAGACATGGAAGGAAAAAGACAGCAATTTTGTGGTCTGAAAGGAAAGCTGAGATTTACAACCAGTTGTAACAGACCTTTACTTGGAAAATAAATATCAAATTTGATAATGGGACTGACATTCTTAAGCACTACTTGCTTACAGCAATTCATGGGATATTTACTGGGGAGCGACTTTAGAAATACGAACTTTTTGCATCACACTATAGACCTTATTTAATCTTTGAGTGACCGTGCATCAGTGTTCCAACTTGGATTCAGGGCTTTAATGCTAAGAACTGTACAAAGAAGTCAGGCTTTTCCTTTATTCACAGCCTGCAGTACTGAAGTGATCTGAGTTACCAATGGAAATCAATTTTTGCAAGTCCTGAGCCTGTATGAAATGTTTATATATGAAATATTTATCATAGAAAACAGGATGTATGTAGTGCTGCTCACTAGAGAGTAATCTTCTGCTTCTCATGACCTAATCAGCTTTAAGTAAAACAAGTTACATGATGTTAGGTAGCAGACATATGACATCCCCCATGGAGAGGGAAAGCCACTGTTAACAGGACACATAGTATATATGGTAATTGAATGCAACAGTCACAATTTATCAGAGCCCAAGGCTCAGAACATTACAGTGGAACCTCCATAAAGGAGGAATGAGATATATCAATAAAGATGTCCTGGGAGGAGATGGGAGGAGGAAAATCACTTTAGCATATGCACATAAATGATGATAAGCAACCACACTTGGCTTAGCAAGTGGCTGTTTATCAGTTTTGCTCTGGTAACTCACTGTACACATAGCCTAAACAGCGAAATATACCTCATTAGCTAGGACCATTACACACGGTGCTTTAAGCCAAGTGTTGAAGAGGTGTTGGAGAAAATGGGGAAAAAAGAGAAGTGTCCTACACACACAGGCCACTGCCAACAGGCTTAGCTTTCACTAAACACAGTTCCAAAGATGATCCGAGGGCTGAAGCACCTCTTCTATGAAAACATTCTGAGAGAGTTGAGGCTGTTCAGCTTGGAGAAGAGAAGGCTTCGAGGGCACCTTCTAGCAGCCTTTCAGTACCTAAAGGGGGCCAACAAGAAAGCTGGAGAGGGGCTTTTTACAAGGGTGTGTAGTGATAGGACAAGGGGCAATGGCTTTACACTGAAAGAGGGGAGATTTAGATTAGATCTAAGGCAGAAATTCTTCACTCTGAGGGTGGTGAGGCACTGGAACAGGTTGTCCAGAGAAGTTATGGATGCCCATTCCTGGAAGTGTTTAAGGCCAAGGCGGATGGGGCTTTGAGCAACCAGATCTAGTGCAAGGTGTCCCTGCCCATGTCAGGGGAGTTGGAATTAGATGATCTCTAAGGTCCCTTCCAACCCAGACCCGTCTGTGATTCTAAACTATTAACACTGCCCTGTGAAGGAGCCTCCTGGGATGCTTTTCAGAAGGTCTATATCCTTCAAACTAGTCTAGGGAGCAATGCAGCAATAGCTGTCTGCGCCTTTCAGAATCCTTCTGCAACTTGCTTTAGGAGACATCAACCAAACCATTTCACTTGCAACACAGTCCATCTGAAAAGTACTTCCTTCTACCACAAGCCTTGGTATGTGGCATCTGACAATAAGGTTCCATGTTCAGAGAATGTCTTTGTCTTAACAGCAATGCAACAGATCTGTAATAATACTTCAGCACACAATACAGAGAAAGCAAATGAATCTTTGCAGGTAGAAGGACATTTGCCTATGAAAAAAGCAACTTCTGAACCACACTTGCTTCTTTAGGCAAGAATTTCCCTCTTCCTCATGCAGGAATTATTTTTGGTTGCTTTTGGTCTGAATGAACACTGATTCACCAAGACTCAGTGTGTTAGAATCATAGAATCATAGAATGGTTAGGGCTGGAAGGGACCTTCAAAGGTCATCTAGTCCAACGCCCCTGCAAGGAACAGGGATATCTCCAACTAGATCAGGTTGCTCAGGGCCTCGTCCAACCTGGCCTTGAACGTCTCCAGGGATGGAGCATCCACCACCTCTCTGGGCAACCTGTTCCAGTGTTCCACAACTCTCATGGTAAAAAATTTTTTCCTAATATCCAACCTGAATCTACCTCCCTCTATTTTAAAACCGTTACCCCTTGTCCTATCACTAGGCGTCCTCCCGAACAGCCTCTCCCCATCTTTCTTGTAGGCCCCCTTGAGGTACTGGAAGACCGCTATAAGGTCACCCCGGAGCCTCCTCTTCTCCAGGCTGAAGAGCCCCAACTCTTTCAGCCTGTCCTCATAGGAAAGGTGCTCCAGCCCTCTTATCATCTTCGTGGCCCTCCTCTGGACCCTCTCCAACTGGTCCATGTCCTTCTTATGTTGGGGGCTCCAGAACTGGACGCAGTACTCCAGGTGAGGTCTCACGAGGGCAGAGTAGAGGGGGAGAATCACCTCCCTCGACCTGCTGGCCATGCTCCTCTTGATGCAGCCCAGGATGCGGTTGGCCTTCTGGGCTGCAAGAGCACATTGCCGGCTCATATTGAGCTTCTCGCCCACCAGTACTCCCAAGTCCTTCTCCTCAGGGCTGCTCTCAATCCATTCACCACGCAGTCTGTATTTGTGCCTGGGATTGCCACGACCCAGATGTAGGACCTTGCATTTGGCCTGGTTGAACTTCATGAGGTTGGTATGGGCCCACCTCTCCAGCCTGTCGAGGTCCCTCTGGATGGCATCCCTCCCTTCCAGCGTGTCGACGGCACCACACAGCTTGGTGTTGACTCAAAGCAGTTTGTACACGTTACGTCTGGCTAACATAAATTCAAATTTTCATCTGTGCTTTCAACCATGTTACTCACAATGTACAATCTTTCCTTCCTCTCTACTACTTCGTATAGCAGTGCCTGCACAACCAAATTCCTTTGATATTAACTCCAGTAAGATAAGAACCTTCACAGAAAGATAAATAGGTAAAATTTAGAATGTATTCATACTGCAGACTGATGACCTTTTCTGAAATGACAGCACTGGGAGAAAGTGTTTGGTTCTTTTTTGTTGTTGGTTTGTTTGGTTGGAGTTTTTGTGGAGGAAGGTTGTTTCGTTTTTTAAATCAACTTGTCAATAGGCTTCAAAGTTGTTCTTAGGAGAAAAGCTGCAATAAATCTCAGTTACACTTCATGGGATGTGATCCAAACAGCTGAAATATTGTGATTTACATTCTGTGATCAGTTTCCTAAAATCACAACCTGTGTCTCCAGCATCCCTTTATGGACAATTAAGCACCAATTTGAATTTAACGTGCCTAAAAAAAAGCTGTTGCACTTCCTTGAGAGCTCTTTCTTAGTTATTGCAGACACTACCATTACTTTCGTCATCGCACAGGTCAGTAATGCAAACATCTTTCATTACACCTTCTTTGTCCTCACATTCAGACTATACAGATAAAGACGTGGTCTTCCTCACACTTAACGAAGAATAAAACTCTCTAAGAGAGCTGGGTAGCTAAGTCTCAACAAGGTATCCATTATTTCACATCTTGATTATTGCAATGTCCCCCTCTAACTTTGACAAATGCAAACTTGTTCTACTCATGCCCTCCAATACATGTTCCAAGAATCAGTATCTGACTGACGGGTCTCTCCCATTTTGTTACTTATGTATTTTCTTGGAGTATCTTCCCACTCCCTTCTCCACTCACTGTTGAAATACAAGCTGCCTTACTTTCAAAGCATTTTACAGCCTAATCCCATTCCATTCATTCAGTACTGAAAGACTGGAGTTAGCATTCAAATACTACAAACTCTACCACACACTTTTTGATTTTCACAGATGTATCTTTTGGGGTTTTACCAGGATGACCCTAACCATGGGATGAATTCCCTCTATCTATCCACAAAACTACTTATTTACCTCTTTCAAATCTATCCTTTATTAAAAGCACAGAAAAAAAATTGACATCTATTAAGATGCTGCTATGCTGACCAATAATGTACCATTTTGCTTGTGTTCTCTCATCTGACTATCCATTTGCTGTCCTCATCTTATTCTTAGCTTGTAAGTCACGCAACTTCAAGGTATGGAACCCTTCAACAGTGAAGAGAGGAGGCAAGTGATTAATCTTTTAGAGAATATGAAGAGGGCAGAGATATAGTTAGAATATGTAAGGAAATCTCTATAAGCCACATTATTTTTCTTCTGAGACAAGAGACTTTTATTTATTGTCAGCCTTTTAAAAAAGAACATAGAAGTATATAGCTTTCAGTAATTTGGTTATCACCAACTTAAATGACAGAAACTCAAATGATGATATCTGCAGACTATCTACAGATGATCTCTGTAACTGGTAATGTTAAGTGATACATGCAGAGGAAATAAAGAAAATGAGTATACATAGTATTTATGGTTTAGAAAAAATTAAAAAGATTTGTCAGAGACTTCAACCTTAATTACCACATACATAGCCTAACCTGTGTGCATTCAGGTACGTAAGTACAAACATTGGGAACGAGAATCTTTGGTTCACTGTCAAAACAAACAAGTGGGACAGCTGGTCCACGAAACGTCAGCCACGAGACCACCTGTGCATTCACAGCCTCAAGCACCTATATTTTTTACTGTCCAGCTGTTTGCAATCATTAATATAAACAGTGCTTAACATTACACTTGTGTCCACACGGCCTCTGAGTCCTAAGACTTAACCCATGGCTCCAGAACACCAGCTGGTGTGTACACAGTACCCAGAACCTCACCTCGGACATGAGTAAAGGCTTTCTGATGTTAAACACCAAAAAATACTAGTAACTCACTAATAAAAAGGAAGGGATGCCAACCAGAAGCCAGTCCCTATGTTAATTCAGCCTGTTGCTCTAATCAATACGTTGGCACAAATGCAGCTCATAGATAGGAGTAACAACAATCTGCTAAATAACTTGATTTTTCTGTTAGAAAATAACCAACTCATTCTACAGAAGCTACTAGACTTAAGCATCAGTATATCAGGTAACTTGGAAACATATAAGCTACAAGGGAAAAATCGTAATAATTTTTAATGACTCCTCATTTAGATTATTCATAGTGACAATTATGGGTCTGCTCATGAGACCTTATTTTATCATCACAGAAGAAGTATTTCTCAGTGTTGTATAAATGTTATCTTGGCGCTAAAATTAATTTAAAAGAAATAAATATACACTTAACTCAGAATCTGGATGTTCAGAAATTACAGAACTTGGACAATGTATATATAAAACAGTTTGTTTAATTAGATTGCCTACCTCAACAAAGTAAATCTATAAGTTTATCCAGGGCAGGAATCTACAATCGTGTATTTCTTTATCTTCTTCTCTATGAATTACTCGTATAAACTGCAAAATTACAAATTCTGTGCCTATATTTAGTTCATGAATAAAAGAAAACATCCCTGTTTATACCAAATGTATAGTATTAAGGTAATTCCAGACTCAAATTTCTATCCATCTTAAAAGTTTGAGGAATTTAGCTGTCACTATTTAAATATCAAGCTTAACCAAGTTTAACAGCATTAGAACATTAAGTATAATAGGCAATTTTATTTTTGTTTGTACTTCACTTTGCAATGCAATGCACTGACATTAGTAGTCTCTGCTGACTTAAGACAATATTTGTGAAAGATGCTATACAATTTGATGAACTTCTAGTGATTAAAGATAAGAAGTACTGGAGCAAGAAGAGGAGATATATATACTATAGAGTCAAAACTTAGACTTTCCATACTTCCAGAACAGAAAATACAGTTTTTTCTGTGTAACTTGTGGTGCGTTTTTAGTATTTTCATTGCTGTATTAACAGAGAAAATTTCTATATGTACATCTACTTATATTAAAAAACGGGACAATTTCTTACTTGAACAGAACTACTCAGAACTACTTCAAAACAAGAATTTGAATTAATTAAATTTTTTTTTACACATACAATCATGATCAGCATAAATAATACATTGTAGGAGCTGGGATTCATAGGTTAAACTTTCTCAAGATAACAAAAAACTTACCAGAATATAGATTTTTCCATCATCCCCTTTTATGGTGAATCTAAATGTGCTTTTAGCAGAGGACAATTCCACAAGACACTGAGCAACCATGCTCTGTATGAATAGAGACCTGTTTAAGAATTAACCACGCGTATTATGTTTTCATAACAACTACATGGGCAAAGTCATTCCTATCAATGCAGTACAAGTATATGAGCATCTCCACACTGCCAACTCCACCACATCCTACAACCACTTTTTATCCTACAACCACTTTTTACTAAGAGATGTGGCTTCTTCGTCTTTCTCTCCCTTCAATGCCAGAGGACTTTCTATTTCCTGCAACAGGATTTTTTTAGTAGATCAGCAGTCTAAATTGCTCCACATCCTTTATTTTGTCCAACATTAAAGGCCAAATGCTGAATAACTTTTTTCCCTATTGTATTTTACACATATGAACACAAAGATCAGAGTGACATAAATATTTCAAATATAATTCACAAAAGGAAAGAACCGTGACTGATACATACTGCATGATACAAGATAGCTAGATCAAGTTCTATTTCATCTTCGTTTTCACTTCAAACTGAATTACTTGAAAATTCAAAAATCTCACTTCCAATTAAGCATTTCCAAACTTACTTAACTTCACATAATGTAATCTTTCATTTCCATAATTAGTCACCAGATGTCATGCAAACAAACAGTTCAAATTAAATAAGTATTGTATTTTGTCTTATCATCTGCATAGTGAGACACTGTGACAAATTATACACAATCTCTGTCCTTCTGCATCATACACACACACAAACAAGCACATACAAAGACAAGCAAGTAAAATTGTACATGAATGAATCCTGACTATATTACCTTTACAGTGCTTAATTCTATGATGATTACATATAATTTTACTGCACTTTGTTATTATAAGTAATTATTCAAGAAACAAAAATTTTGCTACATTTCTAGCATCCTTCCCAAAACGTAAACCTGAATACATTATCTGATTCTTTTAATTTTTATTTTTTACCTTGGTGTTGTGCTGAAACTTCGCTCAGATGGCCAAATAATCACCTCGGTGACGTAATATTTAATGGTATCTAAAATGACAAACATTTTTGAAGCACAGCAGAACAAAAGACTTGTTAAGAATAGACTGTAAACCACCGTATCACTACACTAATTAAACTTCAGTTCGGCACTCAATTAAGAGATGCAGTGGATTGTTAAATTCTGCTTTGGTTTGTGGGAGGAGAAGCAACCAATAACAGAAAACATACATTGCCAGAAGAAAACTGCTCTGAGCTAATTACATGATCTGCAGTTTGTCATTCATATTGATCCTTGTTTAACAATGGGAAACAATCATCTTGAAACAAAACAAGCAAGAGCTCAAGCCAAACCTGAAAGATGAATTGAAAGAACTTTCCTAAAGCACTGAGATCAGCACAGCTTACGTAAGTATTTTAGTACCCTCTGCTGCTCAGTAATGCTGCAGTGAATCACGAGAGACAGTTTTAATAACAGCACACACAAGGGAATAATTTTCTTCTTTGCTCAAAGAGCAGAATAGAACTTATTTCCAAAAATTGCACTAACTCAACACTAATACTGCATACATTTTGAGTTTCAATGTAACTGTTCCCCAAAAGCTCCACTGAGACAGCCTTTAACACTAAATGGAAGTGTTTGAGTACAGAATTTAATCCCCATCAATAAAGTCAGGTCAAAGATAATCATATTGAAGCTCTGGGTCTATGCTACAACCATAGCCTAACCAGAGGGCCAGCAGAACAGGTTAGGCATATAGAACAATAAACTAATTCCACTAAGCTTTAGCATGTGAACAACAGCAAAGATTCCTCAGTTACATAAATTTTAACGGTGGAAGTGACTGTCTCATCTGATCTCTGTCCACACACACCATTAAAACTGGATGAAAGCAAGCATTTCACAAGACACTTAAGATGTTTAAAGATTCCAAAGGCTTGGTAATCCCAAGTACTACACTTGGTAATCCCAGATAAGTACTACACCTTTTTTAATTATCCTCACTTTTAGGAAATTATATTTTACCTCTAAGTTTAATTTTAGTCTGCTCCACGCTGTGCCTAGTCCTGGGAGACAGGAGAAAAAGAAGCCAGCTCAGTCATTCTAGCTCCCCAGCTGTTACCCTGAGTAAGGAATTGGTACTACTGCTGCAAGGGCATTGGGAATTACGGAGATGTTTGCTTGCAGAGAGATAGAAGATGGGATTTCCCAAGAAAAAAAATCGTATGAGTACATGGGAATAGAGTTGGGAGAAGGAACAGTCGACAGGGGAATTTCAAAGCCAAATCTGGCCTCCACAGCCACACCACTCTCATCCAGCTTTATTTTCAAAGCTCTGATTTCTGCTCATGAGGAAGCACCAAAGCAGGGCAGTCAAGCCTGCTCTCTAGCCTCTTTTCACAGAGACGGTTCTGCCTAGACTTACACCATACATCTCTGGTTAGTTTTTTGTCTGTTCTTTGAACTCTGCGTTAAATTTCCTACAGTACTGAAGAAACATGGTCAAAACAATGGACATGCTATCTAACTTCCGTCATGTACAGAGTCCAGATCAAATCCCCGCACATCTACACAGTATTTGTCTTTTCCCATATCCACTGATCACATCAATTACTGGTTGCTACAACCATCTGAAAGCTTAGATTAAGGCTTGTCCAAAGACACAACCTGCTTTCTGGGCTTTCAAACATCTTACCTTACATTGGTTTTATTAAAGTCTGTACTGTTCAGATCCCTGTACAGGACAATCAGAACCTTCTTTCATAGAAGATCTTCTGTCTTGCATCTCCTCATGACTTATTTCTTAAACAGGCTTTGCATTTTCTGAGAAGTTTTTATATTCTCTAGATCTCTGAACTGAGCCAGGCTTACACTGGCTGATGCAGTGGAGTAGAGGGAGAATGAAAGAATGAACCCTGCTACTAACAGTCTTATAATTGCTTCTCTCCTGTTAATAACTGCATTTTAAAAGCCACCAGAGACCCATCTTTTTACTACTTCAGGTAAACCCTGAAGATTCAATATAATAACAGCTTTTAAACCAACAATCTCATCATCTCATGATCAGATGGTGAGAGATAACCTGTCTTTTTGACAAGGTTTTCTTTCCATGAAACCAGGCTGGCTGTTAGCAATCATATATTTAGCTTCTAGTTCTGTGTTGATCGGGTTCTGAATGAACCTTTCCATTACTCTGTAGGACTGAGCGAATAAACAACCGGTAATTTCTCAGGTCTCCTTTTTTACTGGGACTCCTAGAAAACTAGAATCATGCACTGAGTCTTCCAAAGCTTTGGAATTAGCCAAATACACCACAGAAACAAGGATGAGGAAAGTCCCTGTTGTAAGTCACTTTCAAGGTCTAACAGTAGAAGCAATAACTTCTCTGTTCCAGAAGCGAATGAGACAAACACACAGGAATCAGTCCTGCACCTTACTGATAAACTACTTTCCTCCACAGTTTTTAACTGCCAGTGCTCAATGGCTGATGCAGTAAAGTCTAGTTTGGTTTGTACATCCCATACCTGACGATACTGTTTCTCCCAGCATTGTCTTGCAGCGCTTACAAATTACTTTGGTATTTTCCTTTGATTTCTGTAGGACAAAGAAATGTCATTTAAATGTCACTCAGTTATTCTGAAAAAGGAATGTATAATTTTAACATACTCTCCAGAGTAGATAGTGAACTTCGTATTTGTTTCTGTTCTCTTTATGTTTACATATACACAGATTTGCATTCACTATTTCAGCCCTCTACACTTTGACTTGCTTGCAAGTTTCATACTAGTTTTAAAATCTGGCCATATATACCGATCACACAGCACAACCTGTAATAGCCCACAGGACAATCTCGTAATATTGAGTGACTGGATGATAAAATGACAAGGTAAACTTGATTTTAATAAGAGTAAAATAATGCACATGAAAAGAACTACTCCAAAATACGTACATAAAATATTACATGCAATGTGACTATCACCATTCCATAGAAAGTTCTAGCCACTGTGGACAGTTTTATAGGAATACCAGTTCAATGTTCAGCAGAGAGCAGCAAATGTCCACAATGTATTCTGAATTACTAGGAAACAGCTGAAGAATACAAGATATTCCAGAAAGATGTGGTGGATTCTGTTCTTGAATAATCCCTTTCTCTCAATTCAAGCGGAAGCAGAAAAGGTGTTGACAAAGAATAATTGTCAGAGGTGCAAAACAGCTTCCATATGTGGCAAGAAAACACACGCAATGGGAGAAAGCATGAAAGACAGAAAACGGGGGTATCACTGAGAAGTATAAAATCACAAATATTTAGGAAAAGCTGAAGAGGAAAAAGTCATTTACTCTCATAGCTCATGCTATGAAACTATAACCTAGTTTATATCAAAGAAAAGGAAGGTATTTGTCACACAATGTGTAATATAGTTTTGTACTCACTACAGGAAAGTATTTTTCACATTAGAAGTATACATAAGCTCAAAATGTCTTCAGAAAAGTCTTCAAGAAGTCCTTCAGAAATTGTCTTCAGGGAAGCAATGTTTATCAAGGGCTTATTAAAAACAAAAAATGTGGATAACAACATCTTGTTCAAGAAGTCTCTACACTGGCCAAAACATCACTCAATACTTGCCTCATGCATCCATTACCGCCCATCGAAAAAGATCTAATTTCTGGATGAACCTGTGATCTGCCTAGTAATACTCCTACTAATTCCAGTAGTATAAAGATACAAGCAAGCGCAACTCCTACTTTAATCCAAAGTGTAAAGTCCAGAACTGGGTCTCTGTAGGCTTATTAACCTAGGTGTAGTACAGTACAGCTCTGGTCTGGTAGTAGTATGTATATACAACCACAATTACGCTCCTGAGTTAATAAACCATTCAGGAGCTAGAAATCCTGAGAATGTAATGAGAAGACATCTAAATTGGATTTTTATATGTGGTCTTTGTATAATCACTTTTATAATTGTTCATGCAGTACACAGTGCATATAAATATCCATGTGTAATTAAAAAACTACTGGTTTATTGGCTTGGTTTGTAAGTCCAAACAAGTCACTATCAACTTGAAAAATCATATTGCAGCACATGCCTACAAAAATAATATCTAAATTTAGCATAAATTAAACTAATTGAGGGGAAAAAACTCCAAATCTGTATTTTTCTGTAACCTTTGTAAAAGATACGGATAAAAAGAAAAATGTAACATCTTCAGAATTAGTGAGATGATTACTGCAAAAATTGATCTACAAAGTATGTTAAAATTTGGAATATCGTTTGGAAAACTGCTACAAAAGTAATTTCTAGAACATAAGTACACCTTAGAGATAAAGAGAGATACAGAGTTGCAATTCTTAGCGTGCTTAATGTAATAAGGTGGCAGCCAAGAGTCAGAATGATTAATCAATGGAACAGTTTACCAAGAAATGTGGTAAATTTGCATCATTTGAAGTATTAAATCAACACTGGACGTCTTTCTCAAAGATATATCTCAGATAGAACTGATTTGATGCTGGAAATACCTAACAGAGTTCTCTGATCTGTACTGTGCAAATAATGAACAGAAAGGACCACTCCAGCTCCACGAAAAGCAGGAATTGTCTCACATGGAATCTGAACTTATGATTACAAAGTCCTGCTTGTTCCTCACAAACCAGGAATCAAACTAAAAGCCCCACAGAAAGCCCAACAGCCTCTGTTAAGGCTTCAGAGAGCTGACTATGTTGGAAGTACAGGCCCCTTGTTAGGGATATAGGAAAAAAAATCTGGTTCATATATACGCAGTTATTCCCTTTCCCAATTCCTACCTTGCTACTCCTCTCAAACACACACAGTAAAATTACTCGCTCAATGTGAAGAGCAAGTGTAAGTAGATAGGGTTTTGTGAAAACCAGTATTTGAGGTTGATACAAATACTGCACAGTACAAGTATATAATATATAGTACTTCCTTAAAAGCTACAACTTGCAGGTTTTTTCCTGGCTGCAGTTACAGGTGCTAGCTGAGAACTGTGCAGTATGGTACCTAAAAAACACCACTAACTAACTCGTCCTACCACGCTTCAATGGAAAAAGTGATAGTTTTAGCTAGACTAATTAAATCAATATATCTATTTGACAACTTGCAGCTGCTGGCAATCTGCAGATGGAGGTGGATCACCAGACTAACATTTTCTGTTTCTATTCCTAAGGATCCCTGATATGGTGGCAGGGAAAATATTTTCCCCAAGAGATACTATTAGGATGCTGCAAGACCATGTGACGTTTAAAAACTGTGTTACAGTGGAAGACTAATAGATGTGAGAAATATGTTTGCAATGGACGGATGCTGTCTTGGTCCCACTGGAGGCTGGAAAAGATTGTTTAAGCATCTCTGCT